TGTGTGTGTGTGTGTGTTTGTACGCAGACTGCTGTAATGCTGGGGAACAGTAGCAGTGTGGTGGCCTGTCTCTCTCAATGGGCTCCAGTCCTCGATCTCAACCAGTCTCAACCCTGCCGCACAGGTAACTGAAAAGAATCATTCATATTTCACACTGAGGAATTCATTACATTTTACATCTGGATATAAAAGTGTAAGATAAATGATAAATATTAAACTAAATAAAAACATTTGGAGATGTTTCTCATGTCTGTATATATGTGTGTGCAGGTTTGTCTGGAGGTTATGGCGTTCAGGTGAATGCCACCGTTACTAAAGCTGTGGTCAGGCTGCCGTTCCCTCAGTCAGCCACATGGTACCTCACCCTGCAGCTCACATGCAACAGGTAACAACACACTCATACATTTGTTCTTTTACAAATAAGTTATTTAATATTTTAGAATATTTTCTGCAACTCTGACACCATGTCCTCAATCAGGTAGAGTCAACAACATTCTCCACCAGCAGTAGATGTACACATTTTAATTTAGATTATTGCTGTTCTCACACAAAAAAGAGAATGCTTGTGTAATGGCTTGTTATAAAACAAATTAATTAATTTTGACTCCATGAAAAAGGTTTTTTTTTTCCCTTGCTCTATAGAAAGTTATAACTATCATAGTTATGAATTTATTTTCATTTTACAGTTAAAACAATCATTCAAAAATGAATCATAATATTAATTGTTAAATGATATATACATATACATGTGTGAGGATGATCAAAAATTCCTCAACACTGTTTAGTTGAAGAATAATTCTAGATGCACTGCTCTGTTAAAGAGACTGTAAACTTGAATACCCACAGTAGAATAATGTTTCTGTGCGTTTAATTAAAAGTTTGATTGTAAAGGGTTAATTCTCATATGGTTTTAATTTGTATTCTTTCATCAGTGAAAAACTTCTTCCCCACAGATGGACAGGTGACGTTCGTGTCAGAGCTCTCATCCAAACCAGCTCAGAAGTTGTCCAAGTACGGCTGGTACGGCAACGTGAGGCTGCAGAGGTTTCACATACCAGAGGAGACAGCCGTCGCTCGCTGGCTGTTTTCCGTCACCAAGCTCCACAACTTCCACTGTGGACAGAAAAATGTCACCATGTAAGAGAAAAGCACTTTACTCCACTCTTTTATTTTATTCAGTGACTTCTGCTGTGATGATTTTCACTCTCTCTTGTGTGAAATCAGACTTCCACTTCTTCTTTGAAACCTAAGACTTTCTCTCTTTTGCAGCCATATTCGATGGGGTGCCCCTCCAGTTATAAACCTGATAGGTTCAGTGTTTCCGAATGCAACACTATGGAGTCCTTGCCTGTCTCTGACCCTTCCAGTAGCATCACACAGCTCCATAACTTTTAACCACTCCGACCCTGCTCCTGGTGATTGGTATGTTGCTGCCCACTTGCCTCAGGATGACCGGCGCATCGAGCAGAAGGTTCGTATCAAGCTGTGTACATATGACCCTTGATATTTTCTGATATTTTTGTTGCCTTTCTAAGTCTCGATTTCTTAGAGTGATGTTTTTTTCCAAATCCCATTGTGCTCTAAAAAATGTTTTTATGAAGAAAGAGTCACCACCAGCTATTTAAACTGTATGTGACTGGGATGTTTTAACTTTGGCTGCATGCTTGTTTGTCATTTTTATGTGAACCCCAACCTGTTCCACTGGAGCAGGAGGATTGTTTCTTATGTAATGAAGCTAGATCACATTCTTCTTTCTGTTTATGCAGCAGAGTAAGATTTAGTGTTCTCTTTTTTACCAGTGGCCGGCCGTGAAAGAAAATTAATGTTTTTTTGTGTGTGGATATTTTTTTCTTCTGACTCTGACTCTGACTCTTATCTCTTTTACAGTCACCTGTAAAACACTGCACTAATCTGTATAAATAAGGTTTCCTTGATTAAAGAGAAGTTTGTAACACTTAAGTTTAAACATTAAAAACACTTTCTCTTTCTTTGTCTGTCAGGGTTTTCCATCCTGCACTTATTTCTTCCAGCCTCAATTATCAATCAGGAGAGCGGTGGACACACCTATTTTACAGCAGGGCACATTCCTCCAACAGACCGCTGCACCTGACAGACCGGCTCGCCTTAAGTAAGTAGTGTTCCATCCCCTCCTCCCATTCCTGTTCCTTCTATTGATACAGATTTTTTTTTTTCATTTCCTCATATCATACAGAGTTTTTTTTTGTGTGTGTCTTAGGTTGTATGTTCCAGAGTTTGCCTCGTCTCTCTCCGTCTCTGTGGCGGACTGTTCATCAGGGGAGGGAGCAGACAGTGGAAATTGTTCACTGGTCCTCAGGCTGGGCTCCTCCTCTCTGCAGCAGGGCCCAGTATCAATGAACTGCTCAGGGACTGGCTGCTCTGCCGTGCTATCTAACCCACCTTGGGGCACTTGGCTACGAGTTGTCGTTGAAAGCAGCCAAAACAATCGCACTGTAACCTTTAGTATCATCGCAAACTACACAGGTGACAATAGATACATGTCTCAAAATTAAGTTCCACACATATTATACACATGTTCTAATCTGCTGCTTGTGCATCTTTTTTCCTGGTTCTCATTTGTTTTTTCCTCAGTGGGTTGTAAACCAAAAAGTGTAGGCCTTAAAGCAGATGATGACATTAAGAGGCTCCGTGGAAACAGCAGCTATGCCAACTCAACAACAGCAGGCAACAGCTCACTGGCTACAGCCGCGGTCGCCTTTAGCAATGACTCAGCATCTCTGTTTACGCCGTTGTGGGGGTCCGCGTGCGTGTGGAGCATTCCTGTGCTCTACGAGGAGGTGGACGTCCTGTCGCTGCGGTACACCCCCGTCAACGGACCCAACGTCAGCGTCACAAACACACACCCCACTCTGCTCACTTACCCCCTGCACACGCAAGCCACTGGTGGAACTCTCAACCTGCAGCTCACACTCAACACTGTGCGTATCACTGAATTACAACAGTCACACACACCATTTTTTGAAAGCAGTGTGTTTAATACATATGTGTGTGTGTGTGTGT